TAGAATGAAAGCACATTTCATTATCAATACTTTGAAAAGATCAGTACATACTTCATGGAAGGTAATGACTTCACCTCTGTTGAGGAAAAGCAAAACTTAAAAATAGGTCTATTTGTGATATAGTATTAATAATAGAAAATGCACAGGCTGTTTTTCCAGTGTCCTATAGCTTATCATCCTTTTATTATTATAGGGCACCTGTAAAAAAGAGTTTCCCCCCCAAAAAAGAAAAGGGCATTGTAAGCTATTCTGACAAATTGGAATAATAGTATTGATAGAATGTCTGATTGCTAAGCAAAATACACCTCTTCCAGAATCCAAAGTGGCTACTTAATTGTTTCCTTGTGCAGTGCATAGCAGTTACCTGCAATATTTCAGATGAACCGCATTTTTGATACACCAGAGATTTCCCTTTTGCTTCTGAACAAATGCCAGAAGCTGAGATCAGTGGAAGTCCATTGGTTGAAGGCCCAGATGCCAAGGTGGAATTGACCTGATCTGAATTTAAAAAAAAATCAAGATGTTCCAACACAGGTCCCATGACCTCATTAGCAACTCATCACTTTGGAGACTGTGGAAGAGGGGAACCCCAATTGTTTGGGGAAGGGAGTATAGAAAACACAGTCCCAGCTGGGTTGTTTCAGAGAATGGATAGCTCTTAGGAAGATGATCCTGAGAATGATCTCTTTTTGTTTATGAAAACATAGTATTAGGTAATCAGCTAGAAGTGTAATATATTATTCATTTGGTTCATTATCTCTCTGGAATACAGAAGCAAAGTCTGTGTGGGGACAGTGAACAATCTCAAGTTCTTAAAACTCAGATTTGTTGAGCTGAGTTTCTAATGCACTAAAAAAAAAAACAACAACAACTTCCTACTCTGGATACCAGAACAGAGATGTCAAATTTGCTGCCCATAGGCTACAAGCTCCTGCAAAACTCCCAGAGTAGGCCAGAACAAGATTAAAATGTAATTGGGAAATGTTTAACAAAATAAACAAAAAGTACAATATAACATAGATACATCTAAATTGGTGGTTTTCTAAGACTATACATGGCCAACAAGGATTCAGGATCTCTTTCTGTTTGACACCTGGGAGCTAGAGGATCTCTATCTTGTCTGAACAAGATGTGTCTTCCAGTTAGCTACTTCCTTATTTGTGTCCTCGGAGCTCTTAAGACTGGCTGCTCTGCAGTTTGAAGATGGGACCTTGTTGGGTGATAGTGTTATAAAAGGCATTATTAAATTGCTTTGGGCTTGCGGGAGCCAAGATGGTGGAGTAAAAGGGTAGTTGCTCTCACCTTCGCCTATCAACCTCTGAAAACCCAGAAAAAAATATCACCCCAGGAAAAAAAAAAAAAAACCAAAAACTCTGGAACAGCTGAACTAGAAGAAACACAGGGAACAGTGGTGGTCTTCCAGTGCCCCAGCAAAAATAAGGGAAGCAGCACTACAAAGGGCCCCAGGCAGATAAGCACCCTGCAGCATTCATCTGAAAGGAGCTGAAGAAAGTAACCTAGAGTCTTCCTATAGTCCCTGATTCCAACCCAACACCAGGTAAGCTGTCAGAACCCTGCAGCCTCCAACTGTCAACCAGGAAGAGATCCTGAAGCCCAGGTGGTAGAGCAGGCAAACACCAACACCTGAACCTCTGAGTGCCTCAGTGAGGGCAGAGGAACTGCTGGAAACCAGCTCAGAAAACCACCAGGTGCCTTGGTACTCTACCGCAAAGGAATCTCCCAGTGCATTAGCAGAAACAAGGGAGGCGGCATTGCAAGGGGCCCCAGGCAGGTAAACACCCTGCAGCACCCATCTAAAAGGAGCTGAAGAAAGCTAAAGGAAAGGAAAAGCAGGCAACCTAGAATTGCCTGAAAGTTCCAGCCTTGCTGATTCCAGCCCAACATGAGGTAAGCTGCCAGAACCCTACAGCCTCCAATTGCCAACATAAGAGGCCCCAGCACACAAAGCCAGTGACCAAGACCTAGGCTCCCAACACAAGAAGCTTGGGTCACTGCCCTCTGTTCCCCAGCTCAATCTCTTTAAAGGCCAGGGAATAAAGAAACCATGAGTAAAAAGAAACTTACCATAGATTCATATTATGAGAAGAGTGAAGATCAAGACAGAAATTCTGAAGAGGACAACATTGTCAACAAACCCACATCTGCAACATCAAAAGGGAATATGAACTGGTCTGAAGCCCAAAAAGCCTTCTTAGAAGAGCTCAAGAAGGATTTTAAAAGTCTAATGAGAGAGGTAGAAGAGTCCTTAAAAAATACAATTGGCCAATTAGAAAAAAAAGTACACTGAAGAGAACAAGTCTCTAAAAACACAATTGGCAAACTGGAAAAAAAGTACACTGAAGAAAACAAATCCCTTAAAAATACAATTGGCCAATTGGAGAAGGAAGTACAAAAACTAACAGAAGAAAACAATCTGTTAAAAACTAGAATTGGACAAATGGAAACTAATGACTCTATGAGAGAGCAAGAATCAGTCAAACAGAAACAAAAAAATGAAAAAATAGATGAAAATGTAAAATACCTCATTGGTAAAACAACTGACCTGGAAAATTGATCCAGGAGAGACAATTTAAAAATCACTGGACTACCTGAAAATCATGATGAAAAAAAGAGCCTGGACAGTATCTTTCAGGAAATCATAAAGGAAAACTGCCCAGAAGTCCTAGAACCAGAAGGTAAAATAACCATAGAAAGAATACACTGTTCACCACCTGAAAGAGATCCCAAATTGAAGATGCCAAGGAATATAATAGCAAAATTCCAAAATTACCAGATGAAAGAGAAGGTGCTGCAAGCAGCCAGAAAGAAACAATTTAAATATGATGGAACCATCGTCAGGATTACACGGGACCTTGCAGCTTCTACATTAAAAGACTCAGGGTGGAACATGATATTCCATAAGGCAAAGGAGCTTGAATTGCAGCCAAGGATCAACTACCCTGCAAAAATGAGCATGATTTTTCAAGGGAGGAGATGAATATTCAACGAAATAGGGGACTTCCAAACCTTCCTCATAAAAAGACCAGAGCTCAATAAAAAAATTTGATCTTCAAGTACAAGATTCAAGAAAGACATAAAAAGGTAAATGGGACAGAAAGATACAAATGTTGTTAATAAGGGCAGACTGTTTACATCCCTACAAGGGAAGATGACACTTGCAACTCTTGAGAACTGTATTGTTATTACACCATGTTAAAGGAGTATACATAAAGGGGTGGATATTAGTTGACTTTGATGTAATGATAAAAAAAAATCTAATCAAGTGGGTTAAATGGATCCAAGTAAGTGGATTAATCTGATCTTAGAAAATATACTGAGAAAGGAGGAGGCAGACAAGGGTAAATTACATTACAGGAAAAGACAGAAAATCCTATTACAGCAGAGGGAAAGAAGGGGGGGTGAGCATTGTTTGAACCTTACTCTCATCAGATTTGGCTGAAGAAGGGGATAACATAATCCTTTAGGTATATAAATCTTACTTGCCCTATAGGCAGTAGGAAGGAAAAGGGGAAAGAAAAGGGAGGGAGGATAGAAGGGAGGGAAGAAGCAGTAAGGGCAAAGGGAAAGGGATAATAGAAGGGAGGAGGGACTGAAGGAGGGGGTGGTCAAAAGCAAAACACTAGTGGGGGGGAAAGGAGAAAGGAGAAAGAAAAGCATAAACAGGGGAAAAAGGATGGAGAAAAAGATACAGATAGTAACCATAACTGTGAAAGTTGAATCGCTATCTTTTTTTTCTCTTCTGTTGAGTTTTGTTTCCTCTTTCTGATGGTTCCTCCTATTGGTTTTAATTTTTACTTACAACTTCACTGATGTGAAAATATGTTTAATAGGAATGTAAATGTATAGCCTATATCAGATTGTGGGGAGGGTGGTGGGGAGGAAGGGGGAGAAAAATTTTAAACTTAAAAGCATATGTAAGTGATTGTTGATAAATCAAAATAAATTAATAAAATAAATTTTAAAAAATAAAGAAAAAAATAAATTGCTTTGAATTCAATTAAGTAATTATGATGAACAATTTGGCTTTCAAACATAAAACACCTTTTCAGAGCCATCATTATTCATGTGATTTGAATCCATTACTTGAGTATCAGTAATATCAATATCTCATTCCCAGTCTAGTAAGCAGAACCCAAGATAAACACATTCTTGTTTTGTTGAACTGTTGTTTGAATGTTCTTTTACTGAAGAAATGTTCTGAATTGGTTTTTAAACCTCACTTTTTTTTTTTTGGCTAGGCAATAGGTAAAGTGATTTGCCTAGGATCACACAGCTAGTGTCAAGTGTCTGAAGCCAGATTTGAACTCAGGTCCTCCTGACTCCAGGGCTAGTGCTCCATCCACTACACCACCTGGCTGCCCCTAAACCTCAATTTTTCCAAATTATTTTCTTACTAGGGCAGAGAGTGCTTCCTTGTGAATATTACACAATAGGATAGCTTTTGGTTGTGTTCCTTTTATTCTGATTCAATGTTTTTTGAGCACTTGCATATTGACACTGTGCTGGGCACTGAGAGGAACACAAAGATGAAGAATGACACAGACCCTGTCATCGAGAATTTTTCAGTCTAGTAGGAAAGAAATTTCCAGACATAAATAACTATAACACAACCGGGGGCGGGGGAGCCTGGAGTCTGCTTGTACAAGCTCCATTGTTGGATTTTCAGTGTGAGCATTTCTTTGGAAATGGGAAAATGACACCAGTATAGATATTGGGGAAGCACTGGAGGTTATTGAACAGGGAAATAACGTGATCAAAACAATGCCATGGGAATATTACGTTGGCCTCCACATTTGACAGATAGGAGTTGGGAAGATAAGTTAAGACATGAATTTGTCCTGAAAATATCTAAAGGCTTGTTTTATTCTTTTGTATAGCTGGCTGCATAGCCTCTTGCTTGTGGTTGCATGTCCATAATTTGGTTTGATGTATCTTCTCCTTTGAACAGGGGACTCAATTCTCCCATTTTCTGTCTCTAGGGCTTAGTCGTTCAAGAAGTATAAAGAATTTCGACCATGACCCCAAGGAAAAGAAGTGGACGGATTTCCTTCGTCTTTTGTTGTTTCCAAAGTAATGATCCCCCTGAGATCACGTATCGATTACGCAATGACAGCAATTTTGCGCTTCAGACGATGGAACCTGCATTTCCCATGCCCCCTGTGGAAGAATTGGATGTTATGTTCAGTGAGCTTGTGGTGAGTATTGGGCATGAATCAGTTACTCTAGTATGGTAGAGAAGGACTCAAGAAGGTACTTAAACAATAACTATTGGCTTCTCTTTCCCCACTGCAGTACCCTGACTGATCCCCCTTTCATTCTTTTCCCTTCCCTCATCACTGAGTTTAAAAAGTAGGAAGAGGGATGGAAGATGACATAGATGTACTCAAGTGTTTTGAAGTTGTTTTAAAATGGTAGAATGGATTTAGGCCCTAAAGGAGGCCATATTGCATCCTGCCTTATTGTCCCTTCTGGCCACCCATAGTGACCTTTGGTGAGATTTGAAAGTAGTAAGTAATACCCCACATTCTTCTTACATTCTGGAGAATTGCCCAAGGCCTTTTTCTCCCATGTACTTTGATTTTTTTAGACAGTTTAAACATACCATTCCTTTTTTGCTTTTTTTTTTCTTTAACAGAAAAATGAGGAAAACCTATTTTTAAGACTCTTTGAAAGACATAACCTTAGTATCATCATATGGTATAATGATGGGTTTTGAGCAGTCACTGTTGAAGTTAACTTTTTTCTAGGTACTGTCTTATTTGAGAAGCAGTATGTCGAAATAAGTGACATTTAATGATGTCTATCTCGGTCCCATCATATAAGTACCTTGCTCAATATCTTTCTTTCTTTTTTTTGCCTAGGCAGTGGGGTTAAGTGACTTGCCCAGGGTCACACAGCTAGTAAGTGTTATGTGGCTGAGGCCGGATTTGAACTCATGTCCTCCTTAATCCAGGGCTGGTGCTCTATCCACTGCACCACCTAGCTGTCCCTGCTCAATTTCTTTTTAAAAATCCCTTTGAACTGTTTCTGTTCTGTTTGGGGAAAAAAAAAACTCAAGTAGGAAACTATATAGGCACTAACGCCTTGGTCTATGATAAAGCAAAAGGGTCTAGAACTGCCCTTGCTTGATCATATTATGTCTTCTCTAAAGAAGTTGGCTCTTAATATTGTGATTAACAAATATTATTCAATATCATTAAGTAGGTAATATTTAGGAAAAAGAAAGTTATATGTTAAAATGAACCATGTTGATTCAATAAATGTATGTAATGAAATCTGTCTGTCAATAGAGATAAGTCAATATGAGGGCATCACAAATCAGCAAATATTTACAGGTTGCTGTGGGTGTTATCTAAGTAAAGTTGTGTTTCCTATTCTTACTTAGATTTTGGTAGGGTGCGGCAAAGGTAGTAAGTTAGTACTTCTTTTTTTATTTTGTGTTGATAATCTGAACGCTGAGCAACCATAACTGTACCTGGTGCTATGAGGCCCACGGGTTCATAGATTGAGAACCACTTATGTTGTTAGCTTTGAAGGTAGGAATCATTTTTATCCCATAGAAGAGAAAGACCTTAAGTGAGAGACCAGAGAGGTCATCTAGTCTAATACCCTCATTTTTCAGATGAATTGAGACCTAGAGAGATTGTAACTTGCCCAAGGTCACACAGGCAGTAAGTGGTAGAACCAACATCCCAAACCATCACATCCAACATTCTTTTTGCTGATTCAGTGTGTGTGTGTGTGTGTGTATGAGTTTTGTCTAAAAGATGACCATCTGAATAGAACTATAGGCATAGAAGTGCAGATCAGTACAGTGTAAGCAATGCGTGTAGTGGGCTTACAGAACAAGGAGGAGCAGTACTTTTTGAATAGTGTTTTTAAGTAGAGAAAGGAAGTGGCCATAGTTAAAATGTTAGACCTTTAAAGGAAGGAAATAAACCTAAGCCAAAGTGCCATTTTTTTTCCCTATTGAGTTTTAAAACCGTAGACAAGTTGATTTAAATGTTGTTGACTTACTTAGGCTCTGTAAAAGCTTTTTTGGGGGGACCTTTCTATCAATATGGCCCCCACACTTTCTGAGCATTGGAGCTGCTTGAGCAAAGATCTAGGACCAGGACTCTTAGACTATCCACCAGAGTGCCTCTGGTCACTGTAACAGTGATAGACCTGCCTCCCCAGATGAGATTGGGAGAAGTGGATGGCCTGGTGGTAGACAAGTGAATCTCAAAGACAGCCCACTGTCTTGATTAAGACAGCAGAAATCCTCTGAGCTCTAGATTTTTGATGTCTTAATTCAGGGAGAGCATTGCCTACAGCTGTTAGTTGTTAGCCAGCACCAAACCAGAGCTTTAGGCCTAAACCATTGAAAAGACAAACTGTTTGGGGATTTGTGTCTTTCCTGGTAAGTAACTGACTCTTGACAGCAGTGAAGCATTCACTCAGAACCAGCTGCAGCAAGCCCTTTTTACAAATGCTGCTGCTTTAACGTGTGGGGCTAGGGCGGGGAGTGTGTGTTCAGAGTCACAAGACTCGGCTGTTTCATGGAAGTGAGGGGCACAAGGAGCATTCCTTAACGTTCACATCAACTACACTGGAAGAAGCTATGGTCAGCAGAGGCGACACCCTCTGGTACGGTGACATAGAAATAGGACTGATTGCTCTTCATAGATCATAGCATGATTTCTGTATAACAGACCTGGCGGTCAGGTAGTACAAACCTCTCAAACCCACCCCCTTCTCCTCACTCACAAAGCTTCCCTCTTAGTTCTAGCCCACATGTCTTCTCTCCACTGCTCTTTACACATCTTCATTGCCTTTCTCCTCACTGATACATCCTCAGCATAGCTGGCAAAGGGATTTTTCTAAGGTACAGGTTTGATCATGTCACTTTCCTACACAGAAACTTTCTGTGAATCTCTTTTGTCTCTCTGTGAAATAAAATGCCAGCTCCTCAACCTGACATTTTAAGGATCTCCAAGTCAGGTTCCAATATACCTTTCCAGCCTTTGTTTCATATTATTTCCTTTGGCATACTCTGTTCCAGGCGAAATAACCTAGCTTTCCTCCAACAACATTCCATTTCCGCCTACTTCCTTTTGTCCAGGCTGTCTTTCTTACCCACAATGCCCTCTCTCCTATCTGCATCCCAAATCTTTAACTCCCTTCAAGGCTCCATGCAAATGCCACCTCCAAGAAGTCTTCTTTGATTCCCACTCCACTGAGTCATTAGTGTTGTCTTCCTCCTCAAATTACCCTGTATTATTTGATACTTGTGTAACATAAGCTTCAAAGGCTCGTCATATCCCCAGTACTTAGCACAAGCCTCAAAGCTTAATGTTAATTGGCTAAATTTTGCAAAGGAGGAAACCAAAGGTCATAGAAGTAGCATTATGTGTCCATATAATTACTGTGGATTAGAATCCAGGATTTGAACTTGGGCCTCCTGAACTCTGGTGTTCTTTACCACTTTGAGTGGGGAAACCATCAATTTATAAGACACTGAGCAAATGCCCCTGCTTCTTCCTTCTTAAGAAAGTTGCAGGTACGTATGAAGGTAAGTAATGTAGGATTTATCGACTTCCACCTCTGAAACTTTGGATCATTATATTGGAACCTGATGGTATAAGCCTATTCCTCTTCTCTGTTAGATGAGTGTGTGTGTGTGTGTGTGTGTGTGTGTGTGTGTGCGTGCGCGCGCGCACACGTGCGAGCATGTGCGCGTACGTGCGTATGTATATTTAAAGTGGCATCAAGTTTGCTTGAGAATTTGCCTATAGCAATTTTATTTCCCTGTAAATAATACAGGAAGGATTCAGTAAGGTAGGGTTAACTCAGCCACCTAAATCTTTAAGCAGTATCAATGAGCTAGGAATTCTATGGTTTCCAGTGTACTCCTCAGACACCCGGCGGTGGTATCTGAAATTTTCCTGTTTCATGTTCGTTTGCTGAAAAGCTTAGGGCTCTTCTTGTCATCCCTCTTTGATTAGTGACTATTAATTTAACATACAGTTCTCTTAGAAGATATATTAACAAAAACCTTTAATTTATATAATGCTTTATGGTTTATAATATGGGTCAGTATACTATGTCAATGAGTAAACATGAACTAAATACCTGCACTGTGCTAAGTGCTAGTGAGCAAAAGAAAGACAAAAGATAGTCCCTGCTGTCAGTAAGTTCCCAGTCTGATGCTGGGGGCGCAACATGGAAATATTCATGTGCAAACAAGCTTATGTATAAAATAATTTGGAGATAATCATGTAGCAAGGCTATGCATTATTTCTGTTTTGTAGGCGAGGAAACTGAGACTCAGAGATTGTACCTGGGACAGTTGAATGTGTGATTCTGTGCATGGCTTGCCCTAAGTCACACCTACTAAGTGGCACAGTTGGGTTTTGGACCCAGGTCTTCTGACTCCAAATTCCATGCTTGAGTGTGCCTATTGAAATTCTCAACTTATGATTTTAGTTTATACTCTGTCATCGTGCAAATTGAATGATTTGAGTTAGCTTTGGGTAAAGATCCTCTTTTTTTTCCTATGCTAAATTGAACTTGATTCTTTAGGTCTTTTTTCTTCTACCCCAAAGGCAATGATTTTCTGTGTGTGTTCTCTTCTGACCTTTTCCTTTGCCTCTTATCCCACCTTCTAAATCCTATCTCTGGTAATCCTCTAAATCAGAGAATTTGGCCTACTTCTCTCTTTAAAAAAAAAAATTATTCAGCCCCCCCCCCCGAAATCTACTTTCTTTAACCCTTTGATATTTTTTCTAATTTGCATCATTTCAAAAACAATAATTTTTTTTAAAATGATGCATCTTAAATTTAATAATTAATTGTAAATTTGTGGGTTTTTTCCTGCATTGAAATTTTGATGACACAATATTGCATCATGTAATCATATAGTATTATATTATGAATAAGTCATTACATGCACGTATTCCTGCTGATGCATGCTGGACTTCCTGACAGTGTGCTTCATGCTTGACTGCCAACACTAGCTTATTAAGACCTGTTGGCAGACATGACTGTTGATCAGTTAAACTTGCATTTTGTGTGTTTATTTGGAAAATAATGTAATCACTGTGACTTTAACTGCATTATACAGCAGATGAAACATGTATAGTTTTCAAATTTTTCTTATCTTCTCTTTCTTTATGCTTCCACCACTCCCTTATTTTTATTCAACACTCCCCAT